CCCCCCTCCCTCAAGAGTTAATTGGTCGGCTCCTAAATTTAAACCCCGTTTGTTTCAGTGTTCCTGTCATCCGAGTAATTTTTTCAAGTTTTCTCCCTGAACTAGCTGAATTACTCAGTATTTAGACATGATGATTTCCATCACTCTCTTTTGACATTGTATTGCTGATATTTTATAACTGTTAAGTTGCGATAATTATTTTCAATTTGATAAAACAAATTAGTGGACGACGGCAATGTAATTCCAGTGTGTGGAACAAGTTGCGCGTTACTTGAGTAAATCGAAGGTTACTATACCTGATATTCTCTTTTCTGTGAGCAATCATTGGTGATATGCCTCGGAAAATTTTGCTTTAGAGATAGAAATAATAAAAAAAATGTTTTGTAAGAGTTAGTTTTGAAACATGCAAGTCACAACACCGAATCCCATATAAGAAGGGTTTACATGCGCGATTTTGTATTTTCTTCGACAAGTTCTCTTGTTCAGAAGCTTACATGTCAGATCTATAACAAGGTTTTTTCGAGAACGATTTTTTCCAAGTGTAGATGCAGTTATCCCCTTGTTCAAATTGGAATCGCTCTTGCTATCCGACTAAATCTTGTTTTTCAATTTCTTTTTTTTTTTTTTTTTTCACTGCAAAGAGTCACTAAGTCAAGAAACATCTTTTCAGAAGGGTACTTTTATGAAGGAGGACCTGTTGGCCTTGATGTACCATGCAAGTTTGGAAAATTCGGCTCGCAATTTAGCACTATGCATTTGTTCCTAGATTTGTTAGATTACGTTCATGAATGATCAGCGTCCAGTTTCAATGCTCTTCCTAATAAAACTTGTAACACCGCCCTCAATGACATGGCTTGCCGCATTTCTGCGTGGCAGGAAAAATGATAGAGCTGTCAAACGAGAGGACACCTCGTGCAGTAAATTCTGTGCAAATAAATTGCTTTGTGCCTGTAAAGAAAAGTTTTAATGCTTGCGCTTCGTGCTTGAGTTAAATTTTCCTTTATCCATTCCCTTTGGGTTCCGTGTCTACAAATCTCGGAGTATCCTCTGCCGCCACAATTGTGGCAGAAACAGAAGAGTTTCGAGAAACCGGGTTGAAGGGACGAGCGGTAACTTAGATGCTCAAAAAGCTGGTTTTCATGTTAGTTGTTTTACAACCCTTCAGACCAAGTTGTGTGACAAGGGTTGCATTATTTATTTGAAATCGAACTGATTGATGGAAGACTGGGTATGAAGACTTCAACATGGCGAGTAGCTCGAACAGGATTCGTATTCACGACAGAGATGTTTTTGCTGCTATAACTGAAGGTCCTGCAAATGTATTTTCAAGCACTCCTTTTCTTCTTGTAAAGGCCAGGTGAGAGCCAAAATGCTGGAGATAATGAAGTTGCTTTCCCGTAACTGTGATTTTGTTGGCTCGTTGTTTATTGTCGGTTGTAACGTAGGTCATAGTCACCCCCTGTAGATCATCGTCGGCCTGATCGTTGTAAGAGTTGCTTTGAAGCATTTGGTTAAAAAAAAAAAAAAAAAAAAAAAGCGGTGAAACCGATTTATAAATTGTGTTGTTAGTTATACAAAGCAATGTACTGTTTTCTCCATGGATGGAAGTTTAACTTAAAAGCTGGGTGTCTGAGGTATATATAATATGTAGGGGAGGATTAACAAGCCGCTGCCTGCAGCCCTATTCATTGATCGATCCAACAAATGATGAACCAGTCTTTCGCAGAGTTTTTTTTTTTTCCAAATGAGCTACAGGGACTAAACTTGCAGTCCAAACAATTATTCTTTGTCTCCAAGTTGACTTTTGCTATCAAAATATATGCGAAGCTCTCTGTCCTGTATATGCTTGTACGGTTTAGCTCGGGTTAGTAGGAGTATTGCTGACAGCAGCTTAGTATTTCGGGCAAGATTTCCATTTTACCCCTTGCATTATTAATCATGCATAGAGTGTTGCAAAGAAACCTTTACATTTAGATTTTATGAAATGGAATGCAGAATTAATGTATGGGGTTATATGGAAATCTTTCCGTTTACTATTTCGCCTGCGCTCTGTAAGAAACCAGGTAGGCATTAGTTGATTGGGAAACTAAAAGTAAATATGAACCGTTTGATATCCAAATCTGCTTCAATACAGCATACTTTCTTAAAATGGTGTCATAAAAACTAATCGTCGGCTTCTTTGACTTTTACACTTTGTTTATTTTTCCAAGGCTAATTGTATTCAATTTAACCGGATATAATTTTGCAAACATAATATTTATATTCTCTCTCAGATTTGAACTAATTTCAGATTTTTGAGCAAGAATTTCTGCCCTTCTAACTATTGATTTAGATTTCTATACCTATAAATAATTATTGCTCATCAAGTTATTTAACTGCCATGCAAGAGGATGTCAGTGTGCTCCATGAAAGATACCATGCTATTAAAAATCTTAAAAGTGTTTTAGTTCAAAAATGTAAATTTTTATGCTTAATATTTAGAAACTGCCTTCCAATGCATTGAATTTCAGTTGTAGATGCTGTTGTTTTGAGAGACTGTGCTATAGACCTTTATTAAAATATAGCTTTTCTTAATGCTAGTCTTTAATGAAAATTAGCCTCTTTGGCCTTGACAACATGTCTAAAAATGCTATGTATAATGTAGTAATCTTAATCCGTGTGCATTTTCAATGTTCTCTTCTATGGAGTATTATAGGACAGAAACAAATTTGAAGTTACCATTAACAACATTTTGCTCCTTTATTGCATGTAAAGCAAATAGATTCCATGTTGCTGTAGGTTAGTTCAGCAGTAGTTCAAAGACAACAATAGAATGAGGTCAAGTCTTGTAAGAACACCAATGACACACTTGTCTGGGCCTCTTTTGCCACTTTCTTGTCTTTAATACATTTTGACAACATCTGTGATGTATAACTGCAGATGCACAGCAAAATGGAATTTATTTGTTATATAGAATTTTCACTCAAAAGTGAGGCTAAAAAGGCATACTCGAATGCACATAGAATAATAATTGTGCCAGCCATGTCAAATGTGGTTAGGCTACCAAGCAATACTTAATACTTGGTGACTTAAATAGATACTCAATAGTCAGGTTTCAGAGTAAGGACTGGAGCCTATAGTTATTTTTCATATCTGTATTTACTGAAAAAAAAAAAAAAAGATAGGTTCCAGTCCTTACTCAACCATACTTAATATGGTGGTATCCAAAGTCAAATTTCCTGATGAGGTTTTCTCACATTATATCTCATTTTATTCTTTGACTTGAATTATAACTCAGCACTTCTTATAGTAAACAACTCCAATATTTGTTATTTTCAGGTGGCTTGCAGATGACTCAGCTCAAGTCTGTCCACTTTGCTCACAGAAGTTTACACAAATCCGTAGAAAACATCATTGTAGGCAGTGTGGAAAGGTTCTCTGCAGCAAATGTTGCAACGAGAAGGTGCAGTTACCTGTTAACTTCATCCTCTCATCACTTGATGCCTTCACAGAACGCCCTCCTTGTCTATTCAACCTCCGTTATTCTCTGCTGCAGTATAGTGTGCATGGTCAGAGCAGCACTCGACCCATTACACCCAACCATCAGTAGGCATACTCTTTATACTCTTCTTTATACTTTTCCAAGGGCGCTGACAAGGAGAATTTGTTTAAAAATGCAAAGCTTCTTTAGTTAGTGATCATTTCCTTTATTCTCCTGACCTTGATGTGGGATTCTGAGGTGATATTGTAAGGAGAAGTTACATGCTGGTCACCCTTAGGGATCAAAAAGTTAAATGCTTCAAAATGTTTTCATAAACTTTTTGTCTTCATCATTAAGTTGGATTTTGTTTAAATTGTTTTAAGTCCCCAGTTCCTTACATCATGGTAAATTTAGGTCTGATTTCTAACCAGGGGTTTCCATAACCTTTTTAGAAGCAAATGCTAATAGTATAATAATAGGTGGCTGTGTCAAAAAAGGGGGCTGTAAAGTGAAACCTAAGAACCTGCAGATAGTCTAAACAGACAAAGTAAGAGATCTTGTAGTAAAATACTTATAGAAATACATGCAATTGTATGTTTGTAGAATACTTGTCTGTGAAATTTCCTGTCCTTTGTTATATGAAATGAACATTTGTATTGTTAGGTTCCTCTTCCACAACTTGGTTTTGATGAGCCAGAGAGGATTTGTGACTACTGTCTTGAAGTAACTTCTCTTGTGACAAAGTCAAGGTCACTTCAGATGGTAAAAACAATCAATACCATTTTATAATATTGTAATACTTCTGTTAAATGTTTTTTTTTATCCGTCATATGTATTGGCTACCAATTTAGCCTTCCGAGCACTTTTTCATTGATTGTTGTAGAACCAAAACCAAAGTTATCTCTATAGTTAATCAGAAGAAAGGAGGAGACTGCTTAACAGCCCATGAGAACTCAAAGTAAAACATACTAAACTTTCTAAGGGGGGGTGGGGAAAATGAGGGCAACTAAGTCATGCTTGCATCTGATTGGTTGGGAAAGTAGTACAAGTTTTCTGAACCCATCACAGAGCAAAGTAAAAGGGAAAAAAAGCAAGGCCAGATTGCTTTCAAGACTCAATTAAAAATAGTTGCTCCATTAGGAATGTGGTACATTGTTTTGACATCACTAAACAGTAAATGTTTTGCATAATGTACTTGTAGGCATTCAAACTAGAAGCAGCTAAAGGTTTGAGGGAGTTATGCAAAGATCCTGATGGACTCACAAAGGTGAAACACAGTTAATGTTTCTTTTTTTACTAAGATTTGTATTTTCTGGTCCAATTTTTTCATGAATATTAATTTGTCACAATCAAGATCGGTAACAACTTAATCCCATGAGAAAAGGAGATGTACTCAAACAGTGTTGATGCAATTCTATTGATGATGCTTAAAGAATGATAGAATTAGTGACACACACATGCACACACTGTATACGTAGCAGCTTGAAAGAAACTGGTTTTACATTGATCAGCATTTAGGTCATATAACTTTGTTTTGTAGATATTTCAGAAAATTTCGGCAATGATGCATAAATATTAGAAAATCCTTTAATTCTTGCATTATTGAATGATATGAATTCAGTTTTACTTTTGATGTATTGATATTCATATTTTTTATTATCTGGACTCTCAAGTATCCAGGCTATTCAACTCAATCCCCATGAGTCCACAAAATCGATGTTTGACTTTAAAAGAGATGTGCTGTATAGTTGCCTGATTTTGACTGAAAGCAAGTTTTTTTGAAGAATTATATTGAGGCTTACTTTGGGCAGTCAGCCCCAGTTTCACATATTTAATCTTTTTATCTCTCTAAGAAATCAATAAAATGTTTAATCATGAGTCTTCTATTTCCAATTAAATGATAATTTACAAAACAGTTAAAAGATCATATCACGGCAGCCTGCACTAAATACTTTTATAACATAACCAAAGTAAAGCGTGCGCCCTGATTGGTCAATTCAGCGTCCACCATTTGCCCATGGGTGTATGCTGCTGACGACAGCAAATGCAAAGACTAGTTTTCCACATGCGCTTGTTTTTTCTGGTCATGTAACATTTAGTAAATAAAAGAAAACTCTTTTGCTACAGTATATCAATGTTATGTTATAAAACAAATGGTAAACACCACACTGTACACTATTGAGTTATGGATGCACTATGGAGGTTTGCTAAGCGCTCAAGAAGCTAGAGTCGCTCTCGGCTATCGCCTCGAGCTACTCTTACGCTTCTTTGGTGCTTAGCAACCTCCTGCGTGCATCCATAACTCAATAGTGTACGCTGTGGTGTTTACCATTTGTTAAATGAACTGCCTAATTCAGATATCTACATGTTTGCTTTTTTAACATAGGTTATTGAGATGGGTGGGGTACAGACGCTTATATTTCTCAGTCAAAGTGAGAATTATGAAGTTAAAGTAAGTCAATAAATTTAATGTTTCTCAACCAAGACCAACACTCTTGAAAGTTCTTAAAATAACTGAGGGAAATGTGCTGCCTTTGCTATGACATCTGCAAATGGTTAGACATTCAGACTAGTTTTTCTGGATAGGATTATAATGGTAGGCCAACTAAATCAACCTCACTTCCTTGAACTGGGCTAGCTTGTCTGAATATTGCAAATGGATAAAACATTAAAAAAAATGTTTCAGAACAATCACATGGTGCAGACATACCAAATCAAACCAACTGCATTTCTTTCAAGATGCATTTGGAAAAAGCTTAATCTCAAATACTTGTGACCTCAAATCATTTTGACTAGTTTGATGATATTTAGAAATTAAACTCCACATAGACAACAGTAGCACAGAGATCATCTGCCCACTAACCTCTTAAGATATTGAAGGTCTACAGGTTATGAATGGTTATGACTTAATTACAAATACCTCTTGTCCTGTTCTGAAGTGGAATTTAAATGGATAACTCTGCGGTTACTTAAGATATTGATTCTCATTTGTTAGGCAGCAGTTGCCTCTGGACTTCAGATCCTCTCCACTCATCCCCCATTGCACTCAGTGTTAGCCAAATGTGGAGGCATTAAAGCCTTGTGCAGGTGGGATTAACAGTGTTTTTTATATCACTACCTGCACAGTTTGTGCTCTCAGAAGAAGCACTTATTGGTAATAAATATCCAATTGTTTTAACTGACTTTAAAAAGACTCACTTCAAGTTTTAGAGCAGACAGTACTCTCTTAATTTTTGTTTACTTTATTAACATTCTTAATGACATCAATCCATCAAGTCTCACTGTTTTGTTTAAGTTTGAACAAAGCTCTTAAGGATAAGCCATGGGGTGACTTCTCCAAAATGAAGTAATTTGTTTTTTAGGGGTTTTAATAGCAGCTAGGCAGCTGGTAGATCCACCTGCTTGTCATGTTTTGGATACCCACTTGTAACCTTTACACTTACGTCATTTTACTCCTGACATACAGTCAAGTAATTCTTTCAAGGTATCTGTTGAAATTTTTTTACCTCAAAGAACAATAAAGACACAAAATTGAAGAGACCTCATAATTGCAGGAAAATGTAACTGTGCAAGAGTGTAGCACTTCAAATTTTTACCAAGGGAAGCCCAGACCTACCTTCAATTGGAACAAAAGGCTCTCCAGGCCTTCGAAACTACCTTCCTGCTATTCGCCTCTCTTATTCTATTTGTGACAAATTCTTTCAACACCACTGTGATGAACTTGACACACCACTCTAACCTCTTCCTTGTTTTAGAAGTGTTTAATGGTTCATTGCCAATTATGAAGTAAATTTGTTCATTGCAGTATACTTTCCACTGTGAGTGAGAGCCAGGAGCAAACCTTGATTGATGGAATCAGTGCATTGATGATATTTTGTAAATCACCTGAATTAAAAGCACAAGGTCAGCTTAACTCTTGAAATGCCATGAGTGACCAAAACAGAATTTCTCCTTACAATATCAATATAATATCAGGCACACAAGTGATGAGAATATAGAAATTAAAATATTAATTTGGGAACTAATAGGTGATCCAATGCCAAATTCTCCAAACTTTGTTATGAGAATTGTATGATGAACAGTAGGAAGAATTCCAATGTACAAGTGAGATCTTGGGAGTGAAAGTTTAAGAACAAATCACTATTACTAGTATACAGTCTAACTATATACTGCGAAACTGAGGAGGTTTGGAAAGTCAGAACGGAAACATTACAGTGTGCTCCAAACTGAATAGAGAAAGATATTGTAAAAAAAAACCTCTTTCTCTATTGGCTCAAAAGTTGCTTCGCCTCTCTTATTCTATTTGAATGACACTTTTGATTGTGCTGATCCAAGCAGTATGCAAGACACATCTTGCATATCAAGAAACCTTGTGATGCCCAAACTCATTGTGGCAGAGTATAGAAGAGTAGAATCCAAAGGACTGAGAGTCGATTCCTCATGGCCACTCAGAATTTTTTCTTTGTCACATGCTTGTCATAAGAAAAAAAAATCTTTAACCAAGGTTATGATTCTTTAAAAGCTGTAGGCTGGAGTAAGTTAGCTAATCAACAGTGTGTGTAACTTACAGCAACTGAAGCTCACTTAAACACTGTTTTCTTTTTCTTCTAGCCTTAGCTGATGGTGCATTGGATCCTGTGTTGACAGTATGTGCAATGAAAGAAGCCATCGCTCTTCTTGCTCTGATGACATTAAGTCACATTGTTGAACATCACGGCAACTTAGCTCCCCTTATAGAGGTTACAGTTTTTCTTTAATTTTCTTTTTTATGACTGTTATTCTTGTTCTATAAATGATAGATTTTTTCAATTTTTTTGTTGTACCTTCAGAACAATCGGAATGCCCTGCCAAGAATTCTAGCTTTGACAAAGGCTCATGATGAAAAGGTATTATGTGACTGAATTACGAATAATGTGTCAAGGCACTTTTTTTCATTGGATCAAATATGTGAACAGATATATCTCTTTTTATCCAAAATTTGAACTGATTGAACAGTGGGCTAAATATTCCCATGAAGTCAATGGCAGCTTTTCCTTACCTTGAATAGGTTTGAACAAGAATTCAGATCCTCTTTGTTTTGGTATTGCCCCTGTACTAATTTTACACAGCACTTGTTCATCGCAGTGTACCATTCATGTTTGATAATTTATTTGATAAAAATTGAGATTTATGTTCATTATAGATTCAAGAAATATCCCTGAGAATTTTGGCACAGATGTCTGTTGGTACAGACTGGCAGCGACATCGCATTGTTCAGGTGGTCTTGTTCTTTTTAGATCTATTTTATTTTTCAGCTAGTTAATATTAAGCAGGTGTACAGTTGGGCAGAAGAACCTGTTAACTATCATGATCAGTAATGCCTTTTTTTAATTCAAAGATGATTTTATGTTGTTATCGTTATTAAATTTTAGAAATTAAATGGTATTTGAGAAGAGTCTTAATATTGTGCTTTAAATTTATTCCTTCATGGTGATTTGAAAATGTGATTGATTGTAATATTTTTAAAGGGTGAGGTGGACTTCAATTTAAGATAATTATAATCTTGTACAGTATAAATATTACAAATTACCAATAAATTTACCTGGGCCTTTGTACATCGAATGATACAGAGAAGGTCATGAAAGTTGATTGTTAACCAGTTGTAGCGATACATGTAAATGTACTGTAGATGTATCTCAATCTGTTGTTGTGCTTATTCAAGTTTGCAAGGAGATTGATCAACCACTAACTATGGATCAACTAACTGAAGTAACACAGTAAAAATTATAGGTTAATTTTATTAGCAAATCTCAGTTCATTTCAAGTTAGTTTAGAGAATTTTGTATTGGGTCGATTAACAATCAATTTTAATTGATATTGTATTTATATTGTAAGGAGAAATTACATCTCTTTATCACATAAGCACCAATGAAATACCCCTGTCTTCACATGTGAAAAGATCACTGTTGCTATGGTTACATATAAATAGTCCCCTTTTTGATGCAGTGCCTTTGATTTAGTATTTCAATAGTGTTTATAAATAATAAAGAGAATTTTATATGGCCACTTGATGATACCAATTTCTCTTCTTGTGTTGAAAAATATTGCACTCTGACTTTCCCTTTGCCCGCTTGTGAAATATTTTTCAACACTCATAGGCATTTGCTGTAAGTGAACTGACTGAATAAAACAATGTACTAGCCCTAATTCTGTTTCCAGGAAGACTTCTCAGCTGGTCGATGTTTAGTTGAAGCTCTTACTAGAGGACCAAAAAATCTACAGGTAGCAAAAATTGTTTTTGAAAGGCTTGACTTGCAATTACTCATGGCCACATATTAATTTCTGTTTTAATATTCTACCAAGAGATTGCAATGTCAGCAAGAAGTATTTAATAATTGACAATTAAAGTATAAAATTCTCCTTTGAAACCAATTCTTGGTAAGGAGAATTGCCAATCAGAGTGAAGATGTTGAGATTGGGTTTTCCATGTCATTGGTTTGTCAGCAGATGAAGAGGTCACAGGGTACTAAACTCTTTGTGCGTAATAGTTCTTGCTATCAAAAAAAGTGTAAAACCAAACTGAGAAATCAGAAAGGCTAATGCTTTAAAACATCCTATTTAGAAACTTGTTACAGTGGCCAATTTACATTAAATTTTATTTATCAACTCAGTTGTTAAAGCAAAATTATCTTTTTATTACAAGGTCCTTGTTAATGCATCCTGTTTAATTGCTAATTTGGCAACAGGAGACCAAGATCAGGTAAAATTCATTTACACTGCACATCATTTTCACGTGTTAAAGAGGATTTCAGAAGAATTGATCTGAATATTTTAAAAAACAATCCAGACATCCTTCAATCTGGACTTTCTCTTTGCTAATAGGCCCCACACCGTCTTCCTTTTACCTAATTTGCTTACACATTAACTATTTTCCTGTGGTTGTTTACTTAAGATGTCCCTAAGGGATTGCTTACAAGCCATGTGTTCTCTGACGTCATCTCACACTGGTCATATAGACATCCAGGTACAAAATGATTAGTATTTGATAACTCTCTGATAACTCTTGGGGAGCAGGGATGGCACAGTGGTGAGAGCACTTGCTATGGCCGAGGTTCGATTCCCAGACCTTGGGTTGAGTTTGTTGTTGGCTCTTTTCCTTGCTCCAAGGGTTTTTCGGTGGGTCCTCCGGTTTTCCTCCCCACACAAAAACCAACATTCCAAATTCCAATTCAATCTGGAAACAGTGGACAAGAAGAGCCTCCAGTGGAATGTCCATTGCTAAATTATTATTATTATTATTATTAATTGGGAATTTCTTCCTTTTAATGAAAGTACATCACAGTATGTTCTTTAAACTTTTACGCTCCAATATCAGTAAACATATTTTACATTCTGTTCTCTCTACATTTTGTTGGAGAATTTGTATAACAGTCAAGAGCATCTTTAGTTGGTGATCATTTCCTCATTTTTTCGTGACCTAAATGCTTGATTCAGGGGTGATATTGCAGAGAAATTAGATGCTGGTCACTCTTAGTTCTTATTTAATGATTTTAATTGTTTTCAACCATTATCAAAATCTCATCTCTTATGAGATTTTTTTAATTTTGATAACATATAAGTTAAAATGGTTTTACATATTTTCACAGACACATGTATCTAGAGCCCTTGGTAACTTTTCAAAGTTTCATCAGAACTCGTCTATTATGGTATGTCTTTATTTTTTTGATATGGTGCTGGACTGTGTTCAGTTTTGTAGTGTTTCTCCAAAATTCAGTTACACTGTGCCTGTATATTTGTGTGAAAACGCATGATGAGGAGGGTACCATTGGTACATGTAATAATTTCTTTCTTTTTCTAGATAGAGTATCTTCCCAGAATTGTAGTGACACACCTGAAGGTACTTGTAAATTAAAAAATGGAAGGAGCTAGACAGATATTGTTAATATTATGTAACTGAAGCTGGGTAAGGGAAGATAACTATAAACAACCAATCCAAATTCTCCATTACTGGTCCTGTAAGGGCTGATATTTTGGTGCTATGGGACTAAGCATTCTCCCAAATGGTTCCTCTCCATTCACTACTTGTAGGGTGTTTTAAAATTTAAAAATTTTTTTTTTTTTTTTGCAGTCAACAGATAAGACAATCAAGTGTCATGGCCTGAGGACTGTCATGTATCTTGTTGGCCATCAGAGAGAAAAAGCTGTAGATATTCTACTAAGGTATTTAAAAAACTAGTCTAAGAGTAGGCATACTGAAATAGAAGTAAGCCTTTAAAACCATGAAATTGTTGTCTTTGTTGTACAATTCTTATCATGTTAGTTCAGAGAATCTGGTATTAGATCAACTAATGATCCTCTTGTTGAATTTTTTTTTAATTCTCATAACCTGTCTCCTTGATATTGTATTTATATTGTAAGGAGAAATTCTGTCTTGATATCTTTGGGAAGTTGAAGGATCAGTTAGTGCTTCATGTTGCATTTAGGTACTGTGGAACAACCTTACCTCTCTCATAGGCAAAATGATCCATGGACATAGTTACTAAAATATAATTCACATACTGTGTAAAAGCAGGCAAGCAAAGAATAGTTTAGGGGGTAAGTTTCTAAAGAAACTGTAGTGCTGCATCAGTGGGGGTAACAAGGTAATTTGGTTATATCAACTAAGTTGAAACTGTAAATTGGCCACCATTTAGAGTTAAAAAGCTGACGTTTTGAGCGTTAGCCCTTCGTCAGAGCATTTCGCTCTGATAAAGTCCTAATGCTCATCATTTTGATACCCATGAATAAAGGCTGATAGTTTC